GCTAATTCTCCTAAAACAGGGAACAATTCCATTCATCCCACTCATGCTTCTCCATGTTAGCAGTGAGAGTCACTGAAAAGGAAGAACGGAAACCTATCCTTTATAGTCTAGACTTTACTGCTCCTTGCTTTTCTACACCTGCTGGAAATAGTCCCCTAATCATTCTCATTGATAATCTAACTACCACCAAATATGGAAAACCTATCTGAGTGGTGGCTGAACAAGGTCTGTTACATGACCCCCAGTGAAACCATGTGTTGTCCCAAACCCTACCTAAACTATAGTACTGAGACTGTAATACTGACAACCAACACAGCTACTAAGTGACTACTGGGAATATAGCATATACAGCATAGAAACACTGAACGGAGATGAATCATATCTGGGGTGGGACAGAGAAAGATGGTTCAAGATTTTATCATGCTATTCAGAATAATGCAAAATTTAAAATGTAACAATTGTTTATTTCTGGAATTTTCCATTTAATATTTTTGGGAACCATGGAAAGTGAAACCACAGATATTAGGGAACTATTGTGTTGTGCTTCCAAGCCTCCACTAAATGTGGTTTTTATCCCTATAGCACACGAAAAGAAACCACAAAAAAAGTAAGTAAACCCTTATTCAGGAGCTAACCAGACATATGGGCAAACAAATTTCACTAGTTTTTATTCAAATGCTACTAGATAGTCAGCTCTCTTTTCTAGTCCCCAAGTTCCTACATTGGGCCTACAGAGGCTCTGCTTACTCTGTTGTGCTTCCTCACTGGTTCAGAACTTGCTGCTTGGCCTGGCTTACTCCTGCTTTACAAAGAGTTTTTCTAGAGAGTTCCCATAAAACCTCCCATAATCATAAGCAAAGTAGCCAATAAGTAAAGTTAGTGCCAATCTCAAAATAGATTAAGATAAGTTAGTTTCCTTTGTGGGACATTTCCAGTGGAAATTCTGGGAACTCAGTCTTAGTGGTAAAGGAGTGCTAGTTGTATGGACTTTAAACCTAATCCATAAATTGAGGAAAATCTTGGATTTTATAGCCAATCAGACATCCCAGGAATTGAGATAAGTAGAAGATATCTTTGTAAGGTGGAAGATATGTGGACATTAGATCAAGAGCAAACACAACAAGGGGATTGGACTTTGAGCACAAGATAAAAGTGAGAACACACAAGGGAGGGGTGAGGATAGATAAGACACCTAAAAAATTAGCTAGCATTTGTTGCCCTTAACGCAGAGAAACTAAAGCAGATACCTTAAAAGCAACTGAGGCCAATAGGAAAAGGGGACCAGGAACTAGAGAAAAGGTTAGATCAAAAGAATTAACCTAGAAGGTAACACACATGCACAGGAAATTAATGTGAGTCAACTCCCTATATAGCTATCCTTATCTCAACCAGCAAAAACCCTTGTTCCTTCCTATTATTGCTTATATTCTGTCTTCAACAAAATTAGAGATAAGGGCAAAATAGTTTCTGCTGGGTATTGAGGGGGTGAGGGGGAGAGGGAGGGAGCAGAGTGGGTGGTAAGGGAGAGGGTGGGGGCAGGGGGGAGAAATGACCCAAGCCTTGTATGCACATATGAATAATAAAACAATAAAAAAAAAGGAAAGGTGGATGAGAATCTGTGTTCAACAAAAACATATAATCAACAAAACTGAATGCTACACTGATTTCCCCCTGATTTTACTACAGAGAGTTTAAAGTGTGGCTAGTACCACTGTTTCTCTAGACACTGTCAATATAGTAAGGAAATTTCCCAAGAGAAGAGAACACATGATGTGTTTGCAGGGTACTAACAGCTGGTTTGCAGGTATTCTGAACAGTGAGTAGAAAACTGGACTATTCCAACGTTTTCTGATGTCTGTGTTTCTTTTTGTAGGTCCCTAGGTTACGACAGTTTGTGTTACCAGGCTAACTACAAAAAATAGATACCTCTTTAAGTCAGGTCATCTTGTAGTGTCTATGATCCTTAATAGAGGTTGTGCTTCAAAGAGCAGAACCAGGTGGACTTTAAGACTGATGAACCATTTTTAGTGCCTGAACTTTGAACTGTTGATTTTGGTAAGTTTGGTTCGTGGAGACTCCTGTTAAGGAGAGCATTTTAATTTCTTGATATTGTTCTCCTGATAGGCATCACAATATTTTCCCTCATGCATTCTATCCCCTCAAGAGTCTTAAATGTTTACTTGCAGCATCATTTGTATTTAAGTGGACTCATTATGGATGGAATAACAAAACCATGAGGAAAGCATAAAAACTCATCCAACTAATTTAATACTGAGTTCCAAAATCTATACTCAGACCAAACAAGTCCATTATGATGGAAATGGAAAATTGGGCATAGTGGTGCACAACTGTAATCCCAGCACAAATAGAGACAGAAAAAGAGACAGAGACAGAGAGAGATGAGGAAGGGGTGAAGGAGTGAGAAAAACAGAGAGGGAGGGAAGGAAGAAAGGAAGAAGGAAGGGAGGGAGGGAAGGAAGGAGGGAATAGAGATATCAATGCCAAAGTTTGAGAGACTCAACAAAAAGGAAGAATTCAATTCAATTCAAATTTCACCTAAAGCTCCCTCTATAAATAGAGAATTGAAATCTAGCTTAAAATGTAAACAAACTGCATCCTAATTTGCAAACACAATCTTGCAATAAGTAACCAAGTCTTGGCCAATTGTAGCAGCCAAGCTTTCAGCCAATCAGAGGCTGCAAAGTGCTCAAACATGTCCAAATAAGGCAAGCACTGAATTCTACCCAACCAAGCTTTTTCTCTCTGTTTACTTCCTTAATGTGTCTGTAAATACTGCCTGCTCACATAACTGAGAGGAGCTGTCTGAACCTTTACTGTTTCAGGAACTGCCCAATTCATCAATCCTTTCTTTACTCAGATAAACTTGGCTGAATTTAATTTGCACAGATTTTTTCTCTTTTAATAGGAAGCACAAAGAATTCAGTAACTTCCAAAAGTCACAAAGCGAGGAAAATGTAGAGATGGACCCCAACCCAAGGAGTTTGCAGACTTCTTCACAGTCATCTTCCTAATCGCCCTGTTCTGATCCTTCTGTTCATTCCATTCCACCTCTCTGCCACCTCCTCTCTGTCTGCCCTCCTTTCGAGGAGAAAACTATCAAAATATCTTTTGTTTTCTCTCCGAGAGGGCTAGCCTATCTTTTTACCCACCCTGACTAAGTGGAAATTATCTGGGAGAATATAAAAGAAGATACCACATATGTTTAAAATGGTATTCAGAACAGTCTCAGACAATCTTTTAAAAGAACTTTGCATCGCAGAGCATATAGGTATAATAGCATACACAGTCTCCCATGAGAGATGGTGCATTCTTCATGCAGTTATGGCAACTGCAGCAGAGATTCCTCATTCTCCTTACTGCAGGACTGGGAAATAGCAATGAAATCTGGGGAATGGTGTTGCTCATCTGTAATCCCAACAATTGGGAGGCTTGGACAAGAGGGTTGTGAGTTCAAGGCTAGCCTGAGCTATGTAGCCAGACCCTGTCTCAAACAAACAAACAACAACAACAATAAAGAAAACCTGGAAATCACAAACAACACAGGTTGTGCTGGGATCACCCTGCACTCCATCACACTGCCTAGAAAAATCCCACCTTCAAATAGCTGTGTTATTCTCATCCTTTAAATTTTAGATGGAATGACACTAATTCACAGTGTCTTCCTTGACTCCCCAACCTAAAGAAGCCATTTTCACAGGAATCTTTACAGCAGCAGTCCTACAGCACTTCCCATAAGCAGTGATGGTTCATTGATTGACTTACCTGTTTCTGTTTCTATATACTGATAGGGGTGCTGTGAGAAAGTGCCGCAAGATAAGTGCCTTAAGCAAAACAAATTTATTCTTTCTCCATTCTTTCTCCTCCATTGAGCCAGAAGCTCAAACTCAAGTTGACAACAGAGCCATGCTCTTGCTGAGAGTCTACCTAGACTCTCTTGCCCTCTCTTGCTTCTTCCTAGCTTCTGGTGGGGCCCACTGGTCCTTTCTCAGCTTATAGCTGCCTCACTCCAGTCTCTGCCTGTGTTGTCACATGACATTCTTCTTCCATGTCCCTATCTGTATCTAAATTTCCTCTTTCTTATAAGGACATCAGTCATACAGATTAAGGGTCAGCCAGATCCAGTATTGTCTCATCTTATCTAATTATATCTTCAAGTGCCCAGTGCCAACTTTCAGAATTGTAAAAGAATAAATTTCTATTTCTTAAGCCTCACAGGTTGTGGTAATTTGTTACCATTGCCCTAGGATACTGCTACAAGAAACTCTTAGCCTTATTTAACTCAGGGTTTCACACACTTACATGACCAAATAAATATTTTCCCTGTAGCAGCTATTTGTAATCCCTCATTTCTTAGGGAGGTTGGGAAATGTGTGTTTTAGAAAAGTAGACGTAATCTTCCTGTTCTACAGATGAACAAATTGAGACTCAGGAAGGACACTGGATTCACGTGTTCATGCATGGTATGATAGACCGGGACTCAGACTCCAAGTCCATGCTGAGTTCTCTTTACCATTTGTAGTTATTTTCCTTTGCTTCTTAGCTGCCCCAGGAAATGGGTGCCATGTGAAAGGTTAGGCTTGGCTAACCAGGAAAAATGAGTCAGCTTTCCTAACAAAAACCTTTTGGAAAAAATTTATTCAATATTTTTTCCAGCCAAAGGGAGAAATTGTTCTCTTTTTGCAAATATGATCAAGAAACTAATTATGAAAACAGCTGGTCCAATGTAAACTGATATCTCAGATAAGCTTGAATTACGTGAAAATACAGCTGCAACTAATATGCACCATGGGCCCCACCACCCCTTATGCCTATGGAAAGAGCAAGGGAATGAGAAAAAAGGGGCATGGTTTCATTTGTAGGATTGTGGACCCTTCAACCCATTTCTTCTCTTCTTGCCTTCTCACTCCAGGCTCTTCCCCAGACACACAGACTCCATCGGAGGTTATCCCTTCCAGCCCTGGTGAAAGCGAGTCTCTTACCTTCCACTTGATAGGCTGCAGTAGCTGCCCCCCATCCAAATCCCACAGGGAACGCCATGGTCCGGAAGCTAGGACTTCACCCTCACCTAACAGAAGCTCCACACCCTCAGGGGAGCCAAGCAACTGTGCAAATAGTAAGTGAACTCTTACCCCAGGCTAGAGTCTCAGAATGCAAATGTATATGCAAATGAGGAGGGAGCCAGACTGAAATGTGCCACCCGACTGGCCACAGCCTTGGCAAGAATTCAAGTCACTCTGTATAAGATGAGCCATTTTGTTTTTTCTCCCAGCTCTCCCTAGTTCTTAACACAGTTGGATCAGTCTAGTGACTAGGTTAATCTTTTCCCTGTTAATGTAGCACACAGACAATGTTTTTTAAAGTTATATAATCCTACTAGAAGTTTCCTGTAGGCAATTCCTCCAACTCCTGATCTCCACTCCCTAGAAAATAACCATTTTTAACCATTTCTTCTCATATTTACTCACAGGGCATTTTAAAAATAGGCTGATAATGTCTCTTTTTTTAAATTTTATACAACTTCACTTCCATTCTCTCTCTCTCTCTCTTTCTCTCTCTCTCTCTCCTACTATCTTTCTTGTTTCCATCCAACATAAAATAAATAAATTACTTACCTTACTATGACTACCATACCATGTATTGTGAGCCACGTGGTATGTTGTGCTCACATGCAACTCTTTACTCTTCCTGGGATTAATTAACTGTATTATTTAATTTTCTCTATACCTAGCACTAATTCATTCCCAAGCCCTCTAACAGAAGTATAAATCTCTGAGTTGTACAAACAGTGCTGTATTCCTGTTCCATTCTGCACTGTTTATATTTTAGGCCATCATAGAGGCATAACCCATAAATCTCCTCAAATCACTTGAGAGGGGGTCTCCCTCTCCTTGTCTTTCTCCCCCTTTGTTTCTTCTCCCCTTACACATAAAAAAATTCTCAAATAACTTTCTGATAAAGGGACCATGAGAGATCAATATTTCAAAACCTTGTAGTTCTAGAATTATCTTTAGTCTCACATCTTACTTGAATGCAGTCTGTGTAATACTAGATTTTATGAAGGAAATAATTTCCCCTCAGAATTTTGAATGCATTTGATTATGGTTTTCTGGCTTCGAAGGTGGTTATTGAGAAATTTGATGACAAGCAAGTCCTAATCTTTTTATATAACCTGTTTTGTTCCCCAGCTCTCCCTCACTGCTCCCCAAGCTTCTATTTCTAAAATTTTACAGTCACGTGCCTTGAAGAAGACTTTTCTTCCAACATGCTGATGCAGGATGCTGACCACAGGGCAGCTAGATGGGGTCCATGGGTGTTCTCTGCACTGCCTAGAAATCAAAAACTGATCCAAAATAAAAACATCCAGTGAGAGAAGACTTGAACATAATCAGAAAGGAAAATTACTTATTCAGTTTTCCTAAATATGAACTGAGTCATCCTACATTGTGTAATGACAGTAGCATAAAGTTTGGAAAGAAATATAGGTGGAGTCCTACCATGTCCAGATATTCTAACCCTAAGGAAAAAGAACTTAAATATAGAAGGAAAAGAGGGAAGTCATTTAAGACATTTAAAAGTACATCTTTGGTGAAACATAAATCAAAAATGTGTATCAAACTATTAAATTTAGTCCCTAGAGTTATGTAGTTCTGCAGCAACTTGTAAACTGAATTTTTTTTTAAATAAAATATTTTTATTATGGAACACTAGATGGCAGTATTGCAACTTTTTAGGATCACAGGTGGCTATACGAAGTGGCGTTAGAACTTAGTAGCCCACCAGCAAGGGGTGCGCCAGCAGCCCAGCACTCATTGCTGTGGCCGTTCTAAAAATTCCTCTCCAACAAGAACCACCTGCCCTCCCAGTGTGCCATGGTCTGAAGTTATTTCTTCACAAACAGCAGAATTTAATTTTTCTCAACTCTGGCTGGATCCTTTAGTACATTATTTGGTGTCAGGAGTTCTTTACACTCTTAAAAATGATTGAGGCTGCTTTTGTTCTTTAATGTGAGAGGTAAGTATGTGTGTATACATGTTATATATATATTCTGTATTTTTTTTATTCATTTATTCACATGTGCATACATTATTTTGAATATTTATTTTTGTCATTTAAAATAGTAATAAAAGTATGCTAACATAAACACTCTATGAAAAGTAACCACATAATACAAAACAAACATATATATAATATACGCATATGTGGTGGGGGGGAGGGTGTGTTTAGTGAGAAGAGTGAAACTGTTTTACCTTTTTTACAAATCTCTGCCGTGTCTGGTTCAGTCAAAGACAGCTGGATGCTTATGTCTCTTTCTTATTCAATGTGCTGAGTCTGAAAAACTCTACTGTAAAGTTAGAAGAACAAGAGATGGTAATGAAAAGGGAAATCCATGTATTAGTATAATTATGAAAACTGTTTTCACCTGTAGATTGCCCACGGAAGGTCTTGAGGATCCTAAGAAATCCATGGGCCACACTTTAAGTACCACAACTGTCCTAGTGCCCTCTCCCTACTCACCTCCCATACCTCCCTCTGCATCCTTCTTGCCTTTCAGAGACCACTGCACTAATGTTCCCTAAACAAAGGCCTCTAAGGCTCTAAGACATGAATTTGCAGGTGAGAAAGAACTAGTGTATTTTTCTATTTCCTTTATATAAAAAGAATCCTGACTTCATGGCTCCATCTAGAAAAACTGGTGGAATATGTAATGTGTCATTATTTGGATCTCCTGAAGTCCTTTTCAGAACCATACAAGAAAATTTAGGTTTTTATGTAGACCAAATTTTTTTGAAAGCCTACTGTCCCTATTTACCCAAATTCCCTATTCCTTCTAAATGAACATTTGACTGTTTTATAGCAAACGTGTCCATTTTTGATTCCTACTAGTTAAAGCCAAGAAGTCTGCTCTTTGAACCTACCTTCATCCCTTCAAATATCCACCATTTGCTTTTTTTTTTTTTTTTTTTTGTAGTGCTGAGACCAAACTCAGGGTCACATTCATGTAAAGCATGTACCACTGAGCTACTTCCCCAATCTGGTTATTGCTGTTCAAGCACAGAAATCTTTCTGCAAGGGTGTGAATCTGAGGTCTTATGCTCAAATACCCTTATCACAGTCACACAGGATCTCAATCCTTTTTGAGATCCTGCCATCTTCCCTGTTATCCATGAGAGCCACCAGCATCTGTCTACTTCCCAAGCTGAGGTAAATATGTTACTTGCATTGTGATTCTATCTACAAGCGTGTTCTTTCTAGAAGCTAAGAGACCATAGATTCAGTAATTCACTGCCCTCCAGAGTTTTAAAAAAATCTTGAAGAAATCCTTTTACTCTAACTGCAGAATAACAGGTTTGTAAATAAGGATTCAGTCCTGTTACTCATGATCTTGAATTGCTGAGATTCAGAAACTGAATGAATCTTCCCGTGTATCTGTGTTGGGAGAAAGTATGAACATTTGTCTGTTTGTAGCAAAAATGCCTGTGTATTACTGCCAATCCTATTTCCTTTCCCATCTGGGCCCACTCTAAGACAATATTTGTCAGTTTCTTTGGACATGGGTCAGCCCCATGTTGATGTCTTCATCAGGAGAGGTGGACAGAACTAACACGTGCCACTTCCAGACTGGTCCAGTAAAACCTGTCTACACAATCATTCATGTTTCATCTGTGGGTCATAACTCCTCTTCCATTCACTAACTGGATAAACAGGCTCTACTGCAAAGCCACAGGGCTTTAGGAACTCTGGGATAGAAGCAGCCTTGTTCCCTTCATCACTACATAGAGCAAGACTCAGTACTAGCCACTCAAGCAACCTTTGTACTGTGATACGAATAGGGCATAAACTTGCACTACACCATGAGGAGTTGCTGACAAATACACTCTCTGAATAATAACTGCATTTAAAAAAAAAAAGTGATTTCAAAGTACTTTCTTCCAGCAGTGTGGCTTCTTCAGTGAGATCCTGTCCCTGGGGAAAAAAAGAAGTGAAACAGAAAGTGAAGAAGTGCTTGTCCTGAGGCAAGGCACACCAAAGGGCAATGAATTAGCCACACTGATTTTCTGCATTTTCCAAGAAAGAGCTACTCAAATTTTGATCTAAGAATGCACATTTTTACAAAAGTGCTTTCCAAACAGAGTCCTTAATTGCTTCAAGTCATTGGCTATTTTATCTTTTTCAATAATTCAAGTTACAATGGTACACTTACTTCCTATAAGGTCTCCCAGGCTATCAAAAATGTCAATGTCATTGCTTTAGGCTGGAATTATATAAACTCATTGTGTTAATACCAGTTTCTCATGCATGAAAACACAAAACTAGGTTAGTTATAACAATGCTCCCAGTTTCTAAGTAGACAAAATCTGTCAAAACATGGGTGTAGGAAGAAAATCAGTAATAAAGGGAATCTTTGATTGTGAACACTGACTACTGTGATGTTGGGTATACATGTGTAGGAGCAGGACCAGGAATTGTATTGAACTGGAGCATGCAGCTTTCAGTCAAACTGCCTCTGGGTAACAGAATCTGATTTTCCTTTGAGGATCTGCCTTTACCCTATGCAGCCTCAATGCTGCTGGAAAAGCTGATGCTGAGCCCCACCCAATTACTCGCAGGCTCCAGGGATTCATGTAAGTCTATCTTCATATCTCATCTCACGGGGTACAAGGATTGGATTAGACATAGGCTTGACACCCAATTCAAACAATGAGATGTGAGAAAAAGCTCATTAGAATTTCTGATAGAGAAGTTTTCTCAGTCTTCCACTGGTGCTATTAAAAAGACAAACTTTTCCTGCTATTTGTCAGTGGAAAAGTTTTTGACATCCATTTCATAAACATAAAGAGGACCAACCTCAGGATCGCAGAACAGATGGAAGAAAAAAAAAAACCTTTAGAGATTCTACGTATTCCCTTTATGGTTTAGGCCTGTATGAGGTGGTTTCCTGTTTCTTGTAACCAAAAATTTCAAAATCTGTGTCTGTGTGTGTGTGTGTTTGGGTATATAGCTTACCCAAAAAAACATGGGTTTGATGACATAGGTCC